TATGAGTTCTTTAGTGAAGGGGTTGGGGAAGGCTTCTGCACACCAGATGAGTCAGAATAGCAACCACAGAGATAGGAATAAACTTTACAGCAGTTCTTAGCTTACAGACCAGGGAGAAAGGGGCTCCCATTCTCACAACTAGGCAAGGATGTTACTTACTGACTCCCTTGCCAGGCACTACTGTGGCTGTCATCTTCTCTGAGTGTTATCCTCCAACTGAGTGGGTTTTTCAGATCATATGGTGTTTTCACTACCTGGGGGTACCTATTTAATACTTAAGTACTAGGCCTTGCTCCACCCCAGGGAACCAATTCTGTAGCCTCAAGCCTGAGAATCTTCATTTTGGCCAAATTTCCCATTGATACACAAGTAACCTAAAGCAAAGGAAGTTAAACACTTAACCACAGCAACAGCAACAGCCAAGAGCTTGTTTGAAAGGCAGGAAATGAGCCTTACCTCAGACTTCCTGAATCAAAAACTTCATCTCGATAACTTCCACAGATTTAGTATATACATAAAAACATAAGAATTACCAACTGGAACATATCACCAAATGTTAGTTATTTGTATATTATTTGCATATTATTTTAAAATTTGCTACAAGTATATCATGATTATTAATTTTAAAATGGATTTCCCTTTAAACTCATAATTTAGCCTTGTCTTAAGCAAAAGTATTGATATGATGAGTGCCACGTATAGTACCTGTAAATACATGTATTAAAATAAAAATGTTTCCTATTTACTACAATCATTTTGTAAACCAAACATGATTCAAGGTGCCTGGTGTGGTGGTTTGACTAGGAATGGCTCCCATACATTCCACAGTCTCTTGAAGAAAGAATGAGTCATGTTAGTTACACTGGCCAGTCAAACATGCTTACTTGGAGAATTCAGAGAGAAAGCTGAGGTTAAGAATGCTGAGTTCAGTTCCTAGTAACCCACACCAGGCAATTTGCCATTGCTTATAACAGCAGGTACAACACTTATCTTTTGAGGGCTCCCGCTCACATGGTATATACCTACATCCAGGCACACGCATTCACGTAAATAAAATAAATGTTGTTGTCATTGTTAAGATGAGCTTGGATATGAGGCCTCTAAGGCCTCTATCCATAAGGACAGAAATGCTACAAAAGAGATTTGATGGAAGCACTTTCTAGTATCAGTTCCTAAGGGAACTAATGCTGAGCTATGGTTGTAAAAGGATTTAGCTGGAGATGTTCCATATACTGCTAAGGAATATTCCATGAAAGAAAGATTTAGTCTCCTTCTGCTGAATTCTTGTGAGTTATCTATGAGATATTTACTGTATGTCTTAGTCAGGATTTTACTGCTATGAACTGACACCATGACCAAGGCACTCTTATAAGGACAACATTTAATTGGGCTAGCTTACAGGTTCAGAGGTTCAGCCCATTATCATCAAGGCAGGAGCATGGCAGTGTCCAGGTAGGCATGGTGCAGGAGGAGCTGAGAGTTCTACATCTTTATCTGAAGGCCCCCAGGAGAAGACTGGCTTCCAGGCAGCTGGGACAAAGAATTAAAGCCCATGCCCACAGTGACACACCTTCTCCAACATGACCACTCCTAATAGTGCCACTACATAGGCCAAGCATATACAAACCATCACATTCTCCCTGAAAAAAATTCATTTGTATCCTAAACTAACCACGGTGGATTCGAATCAGAAATAACTTTTACTACTGTATCCTAGTAGCAAAACCTTCTATAGAGACATTTCATGTAAACTATCTTAATAGTCAAAATAGGAGTTGTCAAAATTCTTGCAGCAATAAAACTGATGACAAATTATGCATCACAACCACTCATACTAACTTTAATCAGAGTTTATAAAATGTCTGCACTTTTATTTGTGCTCATTAAAATTTATTAAAAACTGAATTTTAAGTACGCAACAATTTATAGTAACTATTTTGAATTAGATATATATCTAAATTATATAAGAGTTTTGGATCTCAAGACTATAACTACATAGCAGATAGAATATTGCTTATGAACATAATCACTCACTTTGTTAGGACAAATTCAGTTTTGGCACCAGCAAAAACATTATATAAACACATAGTAGGCATATAATCTAAACATATTTGTTTCTGAATACAGACTTTATAGTTTTATCAATAATTATGCAATTATTAGTTGTTTTACCTGCCAGGTTGGATGTATCCAGAAACAAGCAAACTCAGATTAAACTACATCGTCTGCTGTGTCTGCCATTTGATCATGACTTCTCTGTTTCAGGATACTTGCTTTCTTATTTGAATTATGGCAATTGTGTAGGAAAAGGCACATTTATTACACTCCCAAACCTCTATCTTTTCTCAATGAGGCCAGAGATACTATTACTGATGCTATAGCCCTTTCAACAAGGAAAGGAAATAAGCAATTGTCTATGTGGCAGTTTGAATTAGAGAAATTTTGGAGATCAACCCTTGTTGAAGGAAGTATGTCCATGACGGTAGGCTTTGAAAATTTAAAGCCTCAAACCATGTTCTGTTCACTATTTCTGCCTACTGCTTGATGTTGAAGACAGCCTCCTGCTCCTCTGCCATCCTTGCCAGTTGCTACCACGTATCTCCATCATAATGAACTCTTCTGTGAGTGTAAGTCCAAATACATCCCTCCCTTTTTAAGTTAACTTAGTCATCATATGTGATCACAGCAACAGAAAGTTAACTAATACAACTTGTAGTTTTCTCCTTAAAATGTTAAAACCTCCTAAGAATTAGGATGTCAGAGAGGTAAGAAAGAAAAAGTAAACCTTGTAAGATTTAGTAGTCTGGAGAATAGTAAGAGAAAGTGGCTCAGAAAAGCATCAAGTGGAAGTGAGGTGAGACGTAAGATTAGAGGACGAAAGGGCATTTTACAAAACCAAGGAAAAAGTTCCAAGTTTGCCTTTAAACGCTACAACAAAAACAGATAGGGGCAAATTCTTCCACTATCCACGTCTGCTATGTCCCTCTGTTTCTAAAGACAACAGCTTTAGTGACCACCTCACCTCAGAAAGATGAGCTAGCAGCTCCCTTTGTGCCGGGGGAAAAAAAAAGGAAAAGGCTGTTCAGATCACATATCTGTTCTAGAAAAATACTAGGTATTGTTTGCCACACACTAGTACACTGAATATCCAATATTCTCAGTTAATAGTAATTCTGGAACCTACAAATGTCTTCATTAAACATCACAGTGTGCATGGGCTTATTAATGAAGTAGATCATATTTTAAAATCATAATTTAAATGTAAGTTAAATGCAGGCCTCAATTATGTAAAGGTTAAGACATACTTGGAAAATCTTCTCCAGTACCTAAACAACAAATAACAAAGACTGACAAAAGTAACCCGGGTGAGCAGGTTCTAGTGGTTGGCAACCATCCAGCTCAAGGTACTTTATACACTTTATTTCATTTTCAGCTTTGCAGCAGATATTATATTCACATTCTGCTGAGCACAGTTATACTAAGGAAATCCATGGCAAAAAAAAGAAATCCAAATTTTGGAATGTTAGACTAAAGAAGCAGTACTTCTTCAGTATCAGTGTTGTAGGGTCCCCAACATTAGTAATAAAGGCTAAAACAGTGCATCTCTCTAATGTCAAAGTGCCTTGTATTAGTCTTTCAATGTTCTTTGCCATTTTTACTAGCTGACATAAGAGAGATTAGAAAAGGTCTATAGATACATTCAAAGTGGTAAATTTGAGTAATACTAGCCCTAGATTAATATTACAGGTGCAACATCTTCTTACTGACAACTAAGTACTTTAGGGATTTTGGAGAAGCTAAAATATCAATCATTCAATCAAATGGAATAAATTAAAATATCAACAGACTTCATGTGATAATCATCAGTTTTAAAGAAAAGATGGTTAAATAAAATCCTTGGGGGAACTACGAGATAGTATAAGGCTTCATATAATCTTGCAGATAACTGATCACACTTCAGGCCACAGAACTGCAATAGAATCAATAGAAAAACTGTATGCATTCAAAACTACTGGCTACAGTGATCATTTCTTGACTTGAATGGTGATGTTTTAGTAATTCCTTTATAAGTTGCAAAGCTCAGATGTGTTAATATTACAAGAAAAGACTCAGAGTTTATAGAACCTGTCATTGTCACAAACTATTCAGGAAACCTGGGTCAATTCTACTTCCATCTTATTGCTTTGGGAAGCTCATTAAAGTTATCTAACCTCTCTGAGCTATTGTTTCCTAAGTAATAAAGGAATAAATAAATTAAGGTTATGAAGGGGTCTTAGAAGATAATTATATACAACACATAACAAGAACCTGGTGTGATGAATGATCATGAGAGAGATCTTAATCATTTTCTAAAGAATCCAGAGAACAATCATTCACTTGCAGTATATGCAAAAGCCCAAAACTATCTACAAATATTTATTATAATGATAGCTATAAAACACATTATATAGCAGCAATAATTATATCTAAAATGGTTGTACTAGATTTGAAATCACTGATAGCTCAGTGGGTAAGAACCAGTACTGCTCTTGAACCTGGGTTCAAGTTCCCACTCATGTCAGCTAACAACTGCTTGTAACTGCAGTTCCAGGAGTTTTAACACTCCTTGCTTCTGAGTGTACCTGTATGTACATGGTGTACAAGAGCTCACACAGAAGCTAAAACACACACAAAAATAATTTTTTTTTCTGAAAAGGAAGCGCACCCTCTCTTCCAACACAGAAATAGTATGGTATCAAATAACTTTCTGTGAGTTATGTCCTTTCAATCAGTTATCAAAACAAATAAACAAGCTGTTTGAATGATAAATGCCTCCTCTGAGTTCCAGGACTTGAATCACTTGGTGGTGCACTTTAGAGAGTTTTAGAAAAAGTATGCCCCTGAAGGCTGGGTCCTGTGGTGTATGTGTGCTTGCTGCTTTCCCTCTGTGCTCGACTCAAGATGTCTTCCTAGTAGAGCAATGAGAATCAGATGCTTTTTTGGATTCAGGACTGACTGACCTTGGTGGCTGTGGCTGTGGCTGCTCCAACAACATGTGGTCTGGAAGGCCGACTGCTCCCCAGACTTGCTGCTTTTTTCTAAGAAACAAAAAATACTAATTTCAGTGGGAGAGCACACCGCAACATTGTGCAAATTATTATACTACTACAAACACTTTATCAAACAACAATAAGGTTAATACACTAAACACACATGGATTATCATATTACCACACACAATTTATCAAGCAACAGTTAGGTTAATACACTAAACATACACATTTACACAAAGTAAATAAACATTTGTAATTTTCATAATGTTGCCTGAAGAGTAGTATATAAATAATATATAAATAGTGAAAAGCAAGTTTCACAAAAGTCCTCATCTGAGCAGTCATCATTTTGAAGCATAAAGCCCTTCCAAAAATGTCACTCACTGTGCTATGGCTTCCTTCTTGCTTATGGTTCAACAGAGCATGTGTAATGAGTCACACAATCTCTATAGAGGTGATTTAGCAATAGATGTCAAAGACATAATTATACTGAGAAAGTGTTGTCTTAGTGAAATAAAAGCAAGTACCTTTTTATTCAAATCTGAACTACTATAACATCAAAAAATTGAAAACAGTATATGCAGTACTTGAGAATATTGAGTACTTATGATGTGCCAGGCAATTATTCTACAGGAAGAAAATAAATTGCACTCTTCCAATAATAAAATCTATAAAAACAATATTCTGAGTATGTGTAGTATTTTAAGGGCCAAATGCAAAAGCTTTAAATCTTGATATCAGCTGACAAATCTGTTACTACAGTTATCTCCATTTTAGAGCTGAAGAGGCTGAGGTACATGGTAAATAACTTATCTGTGGTCATAGCTACTAAGTGCAGGATATCAGCTTCAGACTATCTCCTCTATACTCCATGAGACAGAGTTACATTATGACATTTAACAGGATTTTAAAAACATATTGTTAAAACTAGATCCTAAAATTAAAACACATTGTTTGTATTTCATACTTAGAAATCCAGATTATAAAAAAAGTATCTATATATGTATTCATTATTACTGACCTTTAGATAGGGATATTTTCCAAGGCCCACACAACATCCTTGTGCAAGATGTTAAACAAAAGGACCTACTAACTGAGCTATATTGTCAGTTTAAAAGATCTGAGAAGAATATTTCTTTTACTTTTTCCTGTTTCTTATAAGACTATTTTATTTGTGAAAAAGAAAATAAAGGAGGTAAGAAGGAAAAATAAAATGCACAGTTGCTGTCTTAGAATGGCCTTCATATCTGGTATCCTTTGAACATCTGTGTTCCAAAGAAGCAACATGTATATTCTACACTTCATAATGTAAATAATTCTATATCAAAATACAAAGACCATACTCCATAGACTCTCATAGACTCTCATATTATGGTTGTCACCATTTGTTTCTGTACCTCCTCCTTCTTCTTTTTCTTCCTTATACTCTATCACTCAAAGTCATATAACATCATGAACCCCTATGGGACAGCCAGAGCCCTTCCTCCTTGCAGATGGGAAGTGAAGGGGGGGAAGCTGAGTCAGAGTACAGGAACAAATGACTTATGCTCTAACTCCACAAAAACTGAAAAAAAAAATGAATATGCATGAGCTGCCAAGACACTGATTAGAAGATGTAACATATCACATTTTACATATATGAGCAGTAAACATTTTATTGTATAACAAGATAATTTGGTTTTGCTTAATTTTTAGCACTTAGAAGAATCTAGATTTAACTATTTAACTTCTTGAAAATGCCTGCTATAAAAGTTTGAACTGAAATATTCTTTGCCTTTGGATAAACATTGTCATAGCAAGCAGAAAATTCAATGTTTATATCTGTATCCTCAAAAGATGACATCTAGGTGTCCACTAGTTGACCACTCTCAAAGTACTTCAGGAAGGTAACTATGTTGGAGTTATCTTTAGAAAATGTCATCTAAGAACCATGGAGGAATGAGAAGAAGCTGTGAAGACCCCTGGTATTATTTGTAGAATAAATATATATATAATCTCTCCCAACACACACTCACTCTAATCAACAAAGGGAAGAAAACTCTGAGATGAGTATGGTAGAAACAAAGATATATGAACAAGACACTATGTATATCTGGAAGATAATAAAAAGCTAAGACAAGACATGCAAAAACAAAATAAAACATAACATCATTCTCCATACAGTGTTTCAAGACTATATGTCTTGTGTCCCAATCAGAAGCCATCTAGGAATGGCATGCAGGTGAATTGTCTGGAGATGATCCACCATTTTTCATAGCTATAAGGGGTAAACTGAATTTCAGTGCCTTCAGAGATTTCATTCAAGGACTCCTTCTTACTGCTGATATGACCTTCCTGTCACTAATAATTATATAGCATAATGATTACATAGCCTAATGATTCTTGGGTACCAGCCCACCCTATTGAGCAAATTTCCTGTAGATCAACATAAAGATGAACCTTCATAGATTAATGCTGTTTAGATGAACTAATGACTTTATAAAATTCCTGACTTGACTCAAATAATTTTATGAATGATATTTTAGGAGATTGTTTTAGTTGTTTTGCCAGAAAGATGTAATAAAGTTAGAATCAAGAATAGAATCTGCCCATTCCTCATAGAATACCAAGTAAAGGCTGAAAAATACGAAATACAATGAGCTTTCACTATTACACTAAAAAGAGAAATAGGCTTGGGACAAATTTGTGATCAAGGAAAAACATTCATTCTAGGTCAGGTCAAGAATGAAGCCACAGATATTTGCAATGATAAAGCAAGGTCATGTGAAACTGTTGCTTTGAACTTAACATGAGCTTATACAATGAAGTACTGCTTTGGACCTAACTATAAACATTCTTCTCTAACTCCACTTCTTGTGTAACATTTTACCTATGGGGTAATTTTCTAAAGAACTTTTGTCTAAGAAGGTATAAGGCCAAGGAGGCTCAGTGCCACCCACAAAATGAATATATGTAATGTCTGGTGCATGCGTGTGTGTGTGTGTGTGTGTGTGTGTGTGTGTGTGTGTGTGTACACACATACACATGATGTACAGTAATTTGCATGACTATAAGTATGCATGAACACTGTAGAGTTGATGAGACAAATGGTCAGGCCAAACTAGTGTGTGTGTATGTGTTACTTGTAGAAAAGGCTTTTTTCTTTTCCATTATTTTCACTCTAATTCATGAAAGAGTTTATGAGTTCAAAGCCTCTCACCTGGTCAGCAAGAAGTCATTGAACCAGAGAGAGAAGAAACCAGTGCTTATCAGCATAAAAATAATAAGATTATAAAGCCAAAGATCATCTGTCTTTGACCTTTGATGCTGTGTCTCACTTCAGCCTATTTCCCAAAAGGCTGGGTAGGGACCTGGCATGTCCTACACCAGGATTTTGATTGTAGTGCTAGCTACACAGATCTACACATATAATAACATGGTCAGAACAATGTTTACATGATGCATAAATATCAGTTTCCTAGTTTTGATACTGTACTATGTGCATATAACAGGAATCAATATCTATGCTGCTGAAGCACTCCATGCCATATTTCCAAACTCCTTTGAATCCATAATTATTCTCAAATAAAAATGTTTTAAATGTATTAAGGAGAGACATGGAAGATATAATAAATATATGAGCCAAGTATCTACAAGCAAACTGCATGGGTCTGTAATGAAAACTAAAGCAAGTAGAATTAAGAACTGATTAGAAAATACTTGGAAATATGGCAGCAGAAAATATCTCAAAAGAGCCCATGGAGCAAAAGGGTAAGAACACCCATGGGCATTAATGAGGGAAAGGGAAGAAGCACCCATGGGCATTAGTAGGGCAAAGTCAAGCTGCTAGTTTACATGTAACTGCAAATTTCCAAGAAAAGGTGGGAAGAAACTTCTTGTTTCTTCTAGAAACAAGAAGTTTAAAGAAAATATTGTCAAGATATTTCCCAATTTTATGATAATGATAACCCTAACAGCCTCAGAATTTTAATAAATCCCACGAGGGATTAAATATTGTGACAATGAAGTATAATGAAAATATTTCATACATTCTAATAGATTGGAACTTTTGCTGGACATGGTAACCAGAGATCACCTTGAGGTCACTTATCACTAAAGACTGCTATTCTACTGTAAACTCTGTCTTTAAGGGACAATGTAGTAACCTTACTTGCCTTGGATTTCCAGATAATCAACTTTTACAAGCTAAGCTACAGCATAGCTGTAATCTTAAATTATGTACTCTTCCATGCCCCTGACCCAGAGTAATGCATGTATGTTAACTAATTGCTGAAAGCAGCAAATATAGAGGCTGAAAGCAGCCATGTAAAAACCACCAAAAAGTTGAACATCTGTGGACAATGGCTGGTGAACAATGATGTTTATAGTACTGTATTTTGTCTGGAACAGTTGGAATCAGTTGGAGCCGATTGACTCAATCCCTTGTGAAACTCTGTTAGACATTTCTCTGAAGTATTCCATCCTTTCCTGTCATGGAATACTTTCTGTGCTGTTTAATAAATTATGTATTCTTTCATGCCCCTGACCCAAAGCCCTTTGTTAGGGACGGAGACACACAGGGAGAACACCTTTAGGCAGGTACAGATGCAGACTCAAACAACAGAGAGAACATAGAAGGCATAGAGACCATGGAGAAGAAAATGCAAACAGACTGCTTTTGGTTAAATGACTCTAAGTAGAAGTTCTTTCATTATTTTAATTTTTTATTTTATTTTACGCTTAATGAGACATTAATGCATTATTGGTGACTTTAAGTTAATCACTATTGCAGTGAATCCTTGAAGAGTATACAATAAAAGAACAAGCAGGTTTTAAGTTTATGTTTCCCCCAAATACCGAGTAATGATGCCATCTGCCTCATGAAAGGAAGTTAGGGAGATCCCACCTTCCAACCAAACAATTCTCTTTTCCATCTTCACATAGCAACTATGAGTATGTGAGGTCACTGGTCCACCTGCCCACTTAAGCCACAGTAACCTGTCTCAGAGTCTTCCCCAGAGTGGGGAGATGCTGACTCTAGCTTGTAATGACCAACAAATGACTGAC